AGCTAATAGCGAAGGAACTATTTGCTTAACAGATGCAAGCATGTGCCTACGTATGTGGGTTGCGAACCTAGGGCTCTTTTGGCACACATAAATCCATCATGCGTGAAAGTTCTAATAGAAAATTGAAAAAAATAATAAAGGGTAGGCGAAAGGTAGGGACAAGGCAAACAGAAAAATAACATTTCAAAAAATTGCACGTATATCAGTTTTTTATATGTGTGTGAGTGTATTGTATGTTTGTGTGGCAAAGTAATTGCTGCCGGAGCGTGCTTCACCAGCGGTGGGCGGAAACACAAACTTTTCAAATTTTCTAATCGAAACAAATTGATTACATGTCGTCGTTGACTAGCTTGGCTGACTGCGCACATTCGCACTTACATATTCATGCATTGAAGGTCGATAAAATATTATCATGGACGTAATTTTTCTTCATTGAATGGCGGCTGACAGCTGTGACTGTCTGTTCGCCTGGCTGCTTGCCTATGGAAACCTTCGCCGACGCCATGGAGTTTTGACTTGCAGAGCAGAATGCAAACAAACTTCAAACCACCATGCAATACTTGGATATAGGCGGAGGATTAAAAGAGGATGAGGCTAAGGTGCAGTGAAGCGTGTAAAAAGGACATTCAGCTTGAAAAGGCGCAAATGTGGCTACCATTGACGCAGGTCTTACATAAAGGATGAACGAAATGGAAAACAAGTTTTTGATTGGAAGGAAAAGTGAGAAAATTGAAAAAATGGCAGGAAATAAGAGATAAAAACGAAAAAAAAATTCAAAAGTGGCTGTTTGCTTGAGCCTATATATAGCTGCTAGTAGAGCATGGGTGGATCTGTTAAGTGTCGAGTTGTAATAAGCCGCCTTACTTGACAAATAACAGCTATGCAAGCGGCAATATCCTTTGACATATCCATTGTGCCAAAGGTGGAGAACTCGCATACTTATTTATGCGCGTTGAACTATGAAAACCCATAAGCTCAACAATAAACACATGGAAAGTTGACTAAAGTGGGATCAGAAAGTAAGCGACGTCTTGTCAAATACGACATACACACATACTTCCGCATTGGGTGATAAGTAAAAGACAAGCCAAGAGATAAGGCGGTGGTCCTAGAATATTGTCTTTCACGCACACATTTCATTCGTTTTAATTCATTCATGCCAATTCTGTTTTTATCTCTGGATATTAAAGCTTTCAATCCAACCATGTGGTATGCTAATGTAAGCCCTTAGAAGGGAACTTAACATTTTGTGAAGAGTTGCATAAATACTGTTTGATGCTTTGTCGGAATAAACAAACTTTATAATTTTTTGATTTTTCCCCATTGCAGCCATATGTAAAGATTTAGTCTTTAACGTACTGCTTTCGAATTATTCTAAAACAAAAATTTATTACTCTTTTAGCAAATTTCATTTGCTCTCTGGGTAACAACTGCAAGTATTTGTGTGCAACCGTTTGCGGGGACCTCTTGCTAAGTGGGGCTACCTTCGCAGTTGAATGCGAATGCGTTGGGGCAATAACAGTTCAAGGTGTGCTTACTCTCTCACTTCTTTAACACTTTGCTGTCAATCTGAGTGTTTGAAAAGAAAGTTGTCACTGCCAATATGGTGGGTTGCATGTGTTGGAAAAATAGGTGATGCCAATGTCGCAAGTGACAACTGAAAATGAAGCATAGAAAATAGTTTGGAGTGCTAATAATATAATATGGAGAAAACGTTTTTTTTTTTTAGCAAAGTGAAGAAGTTGACGTTGCGTAATTGCATTGTATAATAATAATCTGAGTTTATTGAATATTTGATAACTTATCGTTAGATCGCGAGTATTGTATCTCTTATATTATGCAAATTCGCGGACATATGTATTTACAATATATCTGGTCGGTTTCCTTCTTCCTACGTCGTTGCATTATTTTGCTAACGGAGGCTGCGAAAAGTGTAAGCTTGCTCACCAATTTTTCGTCAGAATTACGCTCAATGCTTAACCACTTTCTGAGAGATGATCACTCACGATTTTAACTCACTATCTATACTTAGTTAGCAAAAACTAACTAGTAAGGTATGGCTGATAATACATATTTACGATTGACTTCTCACGTAATTATTTGTCGTACGAATGTCAATATGAAGGCGGATATGACAAATTCAGAACGATTTTCCTGAAAATCTGTTATAATGAGTAGTTCCACTAATTGCCCACCTAACGGCGTTATTAGCACACGTCATGTGATATATATAAATACGTATGTAGCTTTACCTGTATATAATATACCGGTATGAAGCTAATTATTTCGCTTCTTAACCGATACCTAATTTTCAATATCTTTCGTGTAACACTTACTTACATTACACAAATGTTGAAATTTATAAATAGAATTTGGTTGTGTGTGAGGAGCTGCCAGCAGCGTGCGTTTAAGATAAGTGCTTCCGGCAGAGACGAAGCTGCAACCTTTAAGTGGCTGGAGATTTGTTCAGGTATTGAAGGAATGCAATCCTAAGAAATATTGGTAGTTACTATGGTGAGAATACACATATGCGCGGAGAGAGTGCACGTGGCGTGGTTAGCGGAGATAAATGAGGTGGGTGCTTAAAGTTAAAGAGTTAAGGGACGATGCAAGCTAATAAGTCAAACGGGTATAAGTCAAAGAGTAAAGAAGTGAAGTATTCGAGCATCATGCAGGAAAAGTCGAAGCAGCTTACCAGGTGAAGTGGTAAGGTGGTGGATAAGACAATTCTAACTAAATGAAATAGGGAATAAGCAGCAGAGTTTAAGTAATTAATAATATTTAATATATTCAATCATTTGAGTCATCCAAAAATCACTGTCTTTCTCTGTCTTTCTTAGAAATTTCTCACTGCTTTTATAGTTCTTAAAATATTCGGAGTCAATTTAAAACTTTCAATGTCCACTGAAAACGAAAAAAGTCATTTAATTTTGTGCTTTTTTTCCTACCGCGTGGTCTTTCTCTTAACTGTTTCTAAAGATTTCTGAGATTGATTTCAGAAATTGCAGATAATGACATCCTAACAAAGTTCAGCAGCGCATAAAATATGCTCTACGTTTCCTGGACATGGCGCAGATATACACATACACATATAATATATTTATGTGTGTGACCCTTGTTAGCTTTTTTTTGGTGTTGACAATTTTACGCCAATGCATGCCGGGTAAAATAAATAATCGAAAAAGTAGAACTTCTTTCAGGGAACAATTTTTTGCCTTTAATAAAACTTTTTCGATTTGGAAGCAGTGTTGTGGTGCCGACAAATACCTACATACACACTGCTGTATGTTGCCATGGGAAAGGGCCGCGGAGTGTGCACAGTTGTTAGAGAAATCTGAAAAAAATTGGAAATGAAATAGAGAATTTATAGAAAAATAAATGTCGGCTTGTAGAGGTATATGTGTATGCATAGGACGTACGGAAAATGCTGAAGGCAGCGTTGTTGCTACTCCTCGTTGTGCCGCGATGAAAGTGTTGTCGATAGTGAAAGGGCTTTTCCGCATAACGCTGCTTGAACTACTTAGGTTTCTCGTAATACCTAAATACAGCGTCCTAAAAATAGCAAAGCATTTGTAGGTTTTCCAACGGTGCGTAACATGCAGATTACATTAAAAGTTCAAATAAGTTCTCGTACAAACAATTTTTATATTTAGAAATTTTGATCATTAAATATAATGAAATACGTTTAAAATCTAAACTTTATAAATATAAATAACATATGTTAATTTTATTGTAATTTTTTTTTTTTAAATTAGTATTGGACCAATTTCCTAGTGTCGTATAAAAGCTTTGAATTTGAAAATCGATTTAAAGTATTAAAATAAATAGTATACATGAAACATTAAATAAAAAAAAAAAAAAATTAGTGATAGAAAAATGTTTATAATTTGATCATTTAGTCAAATGTTTAATTTTTTATTTACAAAATGTCTCAATGAGTTTCCAGAGAGTGGTTCTCTCAATCTGTTCAGTTTATTTTTGTTGTTGTTTGTTAAGTTTGCATGCGCAAAAACAATAAGGAGAAGAAGAAGAAATAAACTGTGGAAATTGACATATAAAATACCGTTAAATAACTGTTGCTCACTTGAGTGAAAATGCTTAGACAGCAGAAAATTGTTTATTTTTGTAATGTCTTTATTACTGTTGTTGCATTTCATTGAATGCTTGATGATCCTTTTGCAACAGCAAGCAAAGATAAATGCTGTTAGCTTTTGTTATGCCAAGAAGTGAATACAAATTTATGCATTTGTAATGCGAAGGCTCCAAGGGTGCAAAACTTAAGTGAAGTAGTTATAGAAGCATTCGGAAAGCAGTAGGAAAAAAAAAACTTCGTTAAATTTGGCTGCACCGAAGCTATAATACTCTTCACATGGGCATTTCTTAATGCCTAAAAAGATATACAAACTTCTTTATCTTGATTTTTTTCGACCAGTTTGAGTTCCTATATATATATTGGCTCGACCTCTACAACTTTTTCAAATATTGTAGCCCTGACTTGGAATGTAGTCTGTGCCGATTTTCGTGAAGATATCTTGTCAAATAAAACTTTTTTCTGTACAAGGATTTTATTTTGATCGATTATTTCAAAAAGTGAAAGACTAGTTCGTTTTCATACAGACGGGCGGACATGGGTAAATTGATTAAGTTCGTCACATTAATTGCTGGGTGTTATAAACTTCGTAGCTAACTTAATATAGCCTGTGCAGAGTATAAATATCCTAAAATGTAATTTTGAACTGGAAATTCAATCGCCAAGAAAAAAAATTATTTATAGAAAAAATTTTTAAGATAGTCTAATAATTATTACCGTATAATCTAATTCAATTATTTTTGGGTATCATAAAGTTGAGTGTGTCTTATAGAAATGAGCGATGAATGTGTTTTGGTATATTAAGATGGCTGCTTAATTTATCTTAATCGCTTTACTAATAATGGTAAATGTATATATAATTCAGAAATACATATTGATAATGTTATTTTTTCCGCTTTCCATCTTTCAGCACAGAGCATAGCAAAAATCTGCGAAGAGAAACAATTTCAGTGTGGCAACGGTGCCTGTATACCCATCCGCTTCACCTGCGATGGCGAATCAGACTGCAGTGATCACAGCGATGAGCGCATTGCTAACTGCAAATATATAGGTGAGTGTGCAAAGTAATTCGAATAATAACAATGGAATAAAGTGTGTGCAATGAGCGGCACAATTGCACTTGTATGTAAACATGTATTTATGTGATGTGATGATGTGCAAAACGGTACATTGCACATAACAATCTATATATATAAATGTGTGTGTTTGTGTGGGAAGTAAAGTGGTTTTGTAGTGATGCGAAAAGTAAAGCCGTTTACTTGTTGCATATTATGGCCAGGCATTGTAGCTTTCGAAGGCATTTCTGCATGGTTTTCAAACGGAACAACAGCAATGTTAAGAGGCTTTTTGTTAATTGAAGAGAAGAGTGTGCGTAGGTGGCATAAAGGCAATTTAGAAACTGGAAGATTTAATTGTACTACACCTCCTTTTTCGTTTTCATAATTTCTACAGAGTGCATACAAGCAACTGTTTGACGCTTTTTACAAAAAAAAAACTTGAAATGAAGAGACTGAAATGTTACAATTATACATTTACTGCCTTTTGTGGCAAGGTTTTCCCTCAATTAGTGGTATTTTGTACGTTTCCGTAAAAAAGAGTAATTTCCCCTCAATTCTCTTCTATTCAATGTTAGGGACATGGAAATTGTAACAGTTGCAAGTGTGTGCAATTCCGGTTTTTAAGCAAATACAATGACACTGAGTGATGTTGCGTGGTCGCATTCACAATCGCATCGCTACAGAAACCACACAGCCAACCAGCCACACAGGAGGATTTTACATACTCGTATAAAAGTGCTTAAACTGCCACAATGTTGGGTTGGGTTTTTACGAAATATTGCAATTTCAGCCTGTACTCTATTAACAAGCGACATTTGAAGCATTTGCTTCATAAAATCTACTTTTGATTACAAGTTTTTAATTTTAAACTCAAAGGTGTATCTTGAAATATTTATGGAATATAATACTTTTAGTATTGGAGTTATATTCCTATAGTTGAGGTTTTTATAATATCTGTTCTGGAAACTTTGAAAAGCAATAGCTTTGATGAAGAGCTTTTAAGTAAAACTACATAAACAATTAGCATATAAATGAAGATTGTATGTATTGGTGAGTACCATGTGAAAACTATATATAGAATATGTGAAAGCGTCCAAAAAAGCTTTAGCTTGTAAAAAATGTACCACTAAATTATAAAGGTTAAATGTTGTTGTGCACATGAAAGCGGTGACTTTATTTATGATATGCCATGAAAGCTTTGGAAAAAGCTAAACACAAATGTCTATCATGATTAAATATAAGTGCAAGCTTTGATGAATACAAAAGCTTTCATTAAGTTTCGAAAGTTCTCTTTTTGAAAATTTTATTTACATATTTACATAGCTCATAATTGGTTACTTTTCAAACTTTATAAAAAATACCTTCATTCTGCAAATATCTTCATTTAAAGCAGAAATTTAGTGTGTTCTGTTAGTGTGTTTCTATTTATATATGTACATAGACGTGTGCGTCAGTCTTTAAGTCCCATATTTCGTATTCCTGATTATTTGTTTTGCACTTTAAGCGCAGTCACAGCAATAGCAATGTCAAAGTTGCGTAGCTTCACAGTCGAGTGCACGAACAGGCGAGAAGATGTAACCGCAGTGCATACAACGTTTACCCAGTGTTGAAATCTCTGCTTGCAACTGTGCTATGTTTATATGGGCCTTTGCGTTTTACAAACTGGAATATCCTTAAGGATTACAATTTAATAAGATTTTCACATACTAAAAATACATTTGTATGTACACTATCACACATACCTATACATGTGATTGCATATGTGTATGAAGTACAATAGTCTAAGTCAACCTAAGTGATAACTGGACTACAGTTGTCAACTCATTTCTCTCTGACTCAACTAAACGAACTGCGCTCTTGTTTCCGATCCTGTGGCTGCAGTTTGATATTTATATAATGTATTTGCAGTCATTAAGTCTCTTTTTGCGCTCACAAATTTTCACTTAAAGTGTATATGTCATAACTTATCAAAATCGACTTCACCTATGTATTTCGCTGGAATGTACGCTTAATACTCACACGCAGCTGTTGGCGATATTTCGGAGCTGTGAGAAACCAAAATTGAGTCTTCGAAGGTAATCCAAGTATTGTTGGTGTTTGTTATGGTTACGGAGATTGACAAAATTCCATTTCACAGATCGTGCATGTGTATGCTCTGTCATTTGATATAATGGACGTAGGTGTACATATGTGTATATGTGCTGTCCAATGTGGCTGCGTGATAGATACAACTTTGCACCTGGCTAAACACACATTGGCACGTTAGCAAAGAATGTCTGCGTGAATATCACTTGATTGTCACAACGGCAACATTCAGTTGCAGTGTTACAATGAGCGTTGTCACTTGAAGTCAATTGGTGCAGTGCTGTGTGGGTTCTTTTCATGAAAGTCGATTTAAGTAGTAGTAATGGTGTTTAGTTTTTTCAGTTAAATAATAATACCATAGATTGAAACTATTATCTTCACCACTCATTAGAATTAAGACTGATTTCATAGCTGTGGGAATTTCCAAAAAACTCTTTTTTATTTTTTCTTATCTGTTTATTCAATTGTCCGTTAAGAGAATTTCGGCACTCTAAATAATTCAAACTCGTTCTTAATTCACCAAAAAATGGAGATATTCACTAATTGCGCAATTAGGATCAATTGACAAGAAATTAATGTCAAGGTTCCCTGTAAGCCTGTGGGGAGTGTTCAATAAGAAGACGAGAGCGTATACTTAGTATATATATAGTGAGAAAAGGAAATACCATTTAATGAAATGACCGAAAAAAAATATATATTTGTTGTAATTATGAAAGAGTATCCTTAAATTATGAATAATTAACATGTTATTCTACTTTTCTTCTTCTTGCTGTAAAGCAGAATAATAATTCTCGTTTCCATTCTTTGAACACGACAGTCTCCATAAATGAAATCAAAACAATATTTTGGCAGATGTCTGTCAAATATTAGCTATTTACAACAAATAAACTAAATTTTTTGAAATCTAATCTTAATCTTTGAAAATATCTTAATTTCTAAGCTAATTGACTCTGTTTTGTTGTTAATTTTGAGTTATTTTGTTTAACTTTGTGTTGTCTGAAAGTAGAAGACATATGTAACTCTAACCACTAGTTCTACATAATTCAGAGGAAGGTTCTTTCTTTATTACGGCCTCGGTTTCAAAAATTAGTTCTGTTGGTCTTTTCTCCTTTGAACAAATGCGTTTCTCTCATAATCTTCTTTGATTAAAGAAAGTTTCAATTCTTTTGCTTGAGAAGTTTATAGATTTATTTTGTGCTCTATTCAAATATTTGAAATTATTTTATAACATATATTAGGTCAAGTACAAAGTTCGTTCGGTTTTTTATTGATTTTTCAAAAGATAATAACTTTGTGTACATTTGTTCGATTTAAGTCAAATATGCGCCGTTTTGTTCGTAAACTTGTTGCCAACTTCATTATACCCCTCTCGTAGAAGGCTGCGACTCTATTGGCAAAAAACTCGGAGAGCCAATTTTCACAGGCCTCTCTTGAGGCCAACTTCTCACCATTAAGCGCGTTCGCCATGGACAGGAAAAGATGGTATTCACTTGGTGCCAGGTCCAGATTATAAAGTGGGTGCATTAGGACTTCCAATCCGAGCTCCCGGAGCCTCTGGCGCGTCACCAAAGACGTGTGTGGCCTGGCGTTGTCCTGATGGAACACAATTCGGCCTCTGTTGATCAAAGATGGCCTCTTCTGGATGAGTGCTGCCTTCAAGCGGTCCAGTTGTTGGCGGTATAGGGCCGAATTGAGCGTTTGGCCATAGGGGAGCAGCTCATAGTAGATGATTCCTTGCCGATCCCACAAAACACACAGCAAAACCTTCGTGGCCGTCAATGCGGTCTTGGCCACCGTCCGGGTCGCTTCCCCGAGCCTTGACCACGACCGTTTGCGCTCGATGTTGTCGTAAGTGACCCATTTTTCATCGCCAGTCACAATCCGCTTCAGAAACGGGTTAGCTTTGTTGCGATTCAGCAGCGATTCGCAGATGGAAATTCGGTCCATCATGTTTTTTTGCTTTAGTTCGTGTGGCAGCCAAACATCGAGCTTCATTTTGGATCCAAGGTAATGCAAATGGTTCCAAACGATTTTCTGGCTTATCTTTAGTTCCTCAGCAATTAAATAAGTGCTCACGTGACGGTCTGTTTCCACTATTTCCATGATTTTATCGCAATTTTCGACGACAGGCCTCTCGACGCGTGGTGCATCTTTGACATCGAATATACTGGAACGGAACCTGGCAATCCATTTTTGTGCTACACATTCGTTTACAGTATCAGGCCCATAAACTAAATTAATTTTTTCAGCCGCTTTGGCCGCTTTTTCGCCTTGATCGAAGAAAAATTGTAAAATATAGCGAATTTCTCATCCATCTTTGACGAGCGCCCACAACGTACTGAGTCAATCAATCGAAAAACTGTTAAAGACAAACTTTTAGCGCGAATAAACACGTTTTCAGCGCCGTATAGTATAACATGATGCGACACGTAATACTAGTACTATGGACAATAATGCCATCTCTTAGATACTTAGATAGAACGAACTGTTTACTTGACCTAATATTTCTTGTTGCTTTTTTTTATGCATTGTTTCATTTTTAAATTTTTACGGTTGTCACTTGATTACGCCCCTTGCCGTTTGATGTTTGCTATACAAAAACCGTTAAACAGATACAAAAATACACAAGCATCACATAACTACAGATACACCACTGATACTTTCGCAATCGATCGATTGAATTGTGGATTTGATTTCAGCTCTGTCAAATGATGTCCGCCTTCCTAAACTTCACATCCACTTCTTCCATAGATTATTTCCCGCATTTTTAGCAGGGGCTTAATGAAATCGTCTGTATGTGATTATGTAGCTTGAGTTGAGTACAAAATAAAATAAATTAAATTCCAACGTTACAATTATATCGCAGCTTATTTACGTACTTTTTGTGTTTGCATGTGATTTTATTGTT